ATCTTCATGTCTGAGACTGAGAGGATCATTCAGTCGTCAGTTCGTCACCCTCACAGGCTGTGTAGCGATGCACACAACTGGCTCCGGTTCGTACACGACCATGCACACCTTGTGTGGAGAAGGCGCGGCGACCAAATCCACATCATATATATATATATAATATCCATCCCTCCACGCGATCCACGATTAATTCTGCATCGCCCAAAAATAGATGCGTGTATGTGTATCTCCCGCTTCCACACAGTGCACGCACACATGTGTGATACGTAGGTGATATCTTATCAAAAACATGTGATACGTAGGTGATACCTTATCAAAAAAATATGTGATAGGTGATACAGATACCACAACCATCTCCCTATCGCCGCGGTCGATTCAGAGTGCAAGGGCGACGGGCAACCACACCGCCGGAATGCCGGTTCGTCGCCGCGGGACTCTTCGGCCACGTATGTATTATATGTGCGTGGTCGTATCGTATACGGCCGAAACAGTAGAGAATATTTGTGTACCAGCATTCCGTATACGGACAACACCGCCGGAATGCGGCATTAAGGTGCGTTGGATCGGTGCGTGAGCGTGAGCGTGACACGACGTGAGAATCGTTCGCATTGCGGCGAGCGGCTGGCGGTCTTCATCTGAGCTAAGCCACCCATCCGGTTTGGGCTTCAAAAGTCTCGAGGATGCCATTGCGGCATGCAAGAAAACAGTAATGAATTGGATATAGCTGTGTGCTGTCGCTTCCTCCTCCAAACTCTGGTACGCGCTGCCTGTAAAGTTCTTTATAGTCTCTCTCTACTCATTTTACTCATACGATGAGTTAGCTCTTCAGTGTTAATACATAGCTCACTTATCTCTCTCACAGAGTTTATTGATCTTGTGTCCAAGCTGATGGTAAGTTTGGTCCTCTCCTCCTCTCTCTCCTCCCTTTTCTCCTCTACATCAACGTTTAGTCAGCTTACCATCTGTTATTATACTTGCTCTTAGGAAGAACTTGCCGTTACGTAGTACATACGTGGCAATGCGCGCCACCACGCGAATCACGGAAATGCGTGATCGGCGATGGCGAACGAGCATTGCAGATCCTGGGGATATAAAGCGAGCGAACAACCTTGATCGGCATGTTTTAGTATTCATCATATCGCACCCACGCCTGGACAACGATATCCGCAGTGGCATATCCATGTCTGAATTTGACAGCCGAAAAGAGATGAGCCAATAACGCCGAAATTATACTATCTAGATAACCACATCGCCGAAATCCAATAGAGGACGGTACACCGATGATCGATCGTCGAATCCCGAAAGGGACACTGTTCTGATCGACCGAATCGTCCTTGTCCTGTTCCCGGCCGCCGTGTTGCTGGAGCAGCGTTTTCTAGACCTCATCCGCGCGGCCGGTCGTCTCGTACGGCGCCGCTTGGCTGGCCACCTAGCTCTCCGCCAAGTTTTCTTCTTCGTCTTCGTCTCGATTGGCATCTCCTTTTCGTCGTTGATCGGAGCCCCGTGGTTTTCCTTTTCCACGGGCTAGAAAAGATTCACCCTAGAGCTACCTACTGCTCGGAATGGGAGCTCGCTCTGTCTATCACATATGGCCGGTCACTGCTACACTGCCACCATGCATGGCATAGCATATTAGCATTGCATTGTAAGCTTGTACTAAACATTACTCGGCCTGTTCGTTTGGCTGGACTTTTTCGTTGCTGGATCGTGAAGAAATACTGCTGACTGGTTTGGTGTGAAAGAAAAATATTATTCCGGCTGAAAATTTACAATCATTTACAAGGGAATAATCCCAACTGAACAGGCTGACTGCCAAGTGCCGACGGACCAGCGAGGAAAAATGGAGCCCCTTTCCGATCAACAAGCCCGGCTTGTTCTAATTTGGTGTGAAAAAAAAACACGATCCGCTGGCTGATAAGCCTTACGCCAACGAGCGAACAGAACGAGGAAAGGTGCACTCGCGTTCCACAGGTAGCCCGGCCGGCCGCGTGCTGCCTTTGAATGGTTGGAACTCGCGCCCGGCCGCGACCCTGCTGACATGGCCGAAAATCGCGAGTCGCCATCACGAGGAATCCCGGCCGAGGCGGGTGGCGCGGAGATCTGCGTGGGCTAGCGCGCCTGCCTGAGCCTGACAGGGATCTTCACCGGCGTGCCGTGGCGCGGTGGCGCCCCGTGCGCATGCTATCGGCCTGTAGCTGTAGGTGTTCGTTCTGATGCGCGGTACGGTGGCGCTCCAGAAATGGTGGTGAGGTTGCTTTCCACGACGCACCGTGAGGGCATATATGTGATCGAGTGATGATTGATCGCAAAGTGGTTCTTGGTTTGGCATGGACGAGAATGTAATGCCCATAGTCTTCAGTGCGGTGAAGTTGTTTGGTGGTAGTGAGGATCGATTCTGGAACAGAGACCGATGGCGAGTGCAACGCCGGCCAAGTGGTAGGTTCCAAAGAATGCAGGGGCCATGGAGCCTGCACTGCGCCACAGCCTAACAATACCAGGGCCTTGTTTAGATTGTAAATTTTTGTAATCTGGACACTGTAGCACGTTTCGTTTGTATTTGACAAACTTTGTCCGATCATGGACTAACTAGGCTCAAAAGATTCGTCTCGTGATTTACAACTAAACTGTGCATTTAGTTACTTTTTTTACCTATATTTAATGCTCCATGCATGCGTCCAAAAATTGATGTGATGGAGAGAGAGTGAAAAAACTTGAAACTTTGAGGCAATCTAAACAAGGCCCAGCAAGAACAACATGTCAATGTCATTACCATTTTTATGTGCTATTATATGTTTTCCAGGCAAAACATGAAACAGCCGGAAGTAGTTAGCTCAGGATTACACGGATAAGCAAATAAAGAGCAACTATACCAGCCTTAAACATTGTCCACCTCTTTTACTGGGCATGCAGTTAAAGAGATACAATTGCTGTGCATCCTCCAGCATCATGTGGCCGAATGAAGGGGGCACCGGTATGCTATGACAGACTACCATATATTCAACCAGAAAACTCAAGTAGGGGAAAGAGAGACCATCCATCCTTATGTCACTCAATTTGTGTAACCGAATTGAAGCAACGTACAGTTCAGCGTCTCTATATAGAGAAAGTAATAGATTATCCTGTGAGCTGAATGTCTATTCGTGTCGTGTCCATTAGCGACCTCACCTCCTTGCTGATCAGCATCGTAGCAACTGCAGCATTGCCATGTCTTGTGGAATGCTGAGCGCTTGTGTTCTTGTGTTTATAACTTGATACATAGCCTGTTTCATTGGCTTGGGGGCTTAGTCTTTGGTTTGAAATTTACTGGTGCTGGTTTTTTTAAAAGAAAACACCGTTTATTTACTGGTTTTGGGCCGTATGTTTTAAAACCAATGTCGAACCGACCGATAAAGGACCTGCTAATAATGTCTTGTCCATGGCTTCTGTAATCCTTCGTCGATCACTAAGTGAAGCTGACCTACAGATTTAGTAGTAGCAATTAACTGCCTCGGGCACGCGAGGGACATTATCTGTAATGTAAATGAGTGAAAGTTTGATACTCTAAAATGACGGGAATACTTGACTGTCAACTGCAGTAGAAAATAGAGGCAGTCAAAATAGACATAAAGCAATTCATTCGGCTCATCGAAGTAAGATTTGAATCGGGGGAATGAATTGAGCTTCATCGTTCTGGATACATGGAAACTGAATTTAACTGGGCCTAGTTATTATGGACATTACGGCCGGCATAGCGAGAAGGAGGGTAGCAATTTCAGATCGGGTCAACAAATTTAGGTCTGGTGACTTCACTCACCAAGATGGGCCGGAACAGAGGTTTCTAGCCCATATAAAATGGAGCCGAACAGGTTTTCCTGCCATGATAGGCCCGACCACAACAGAATACGGTGCGATTTCAAGCCCAACTGAGCCCGTACAAATTCAGAATTAGCCCTCACAGCAACGAGAAGCTGTCCACTAATTTCCTGGCATAGCCAAAATTTGTAATTAGGTGGTCCATCCTTTAAAATCTTTTGAATCAATATAAATGTAACATGGTATACAAGTATACGAATTATAAAATGCACACAAAACATTCTAGAATTGAAATAAAATAATCTAGCGTTGCAAAAAAAAAAACATTCTGTACTCTAACACCCTAGAAGTCTAGAACTTAAAATCATTTTGTTTATATAACTCTACGATTTCGAGGATCTAAATGACACGTAGAGACAAGTTCGAGAGTCTAAAACACATTTTAAGAGTTTGAGGACCTGAACGATATATCAGGACAACTTTAGGAACTATCTATATAATTTACTCCTATATATCAATAAAAATAGGTACTATTAGTACTGATTTTTTCAGAGAGAAGATGGCTGGGTCAGTGGCCATCGCTGGCTCACAAACTTTTGTATGGTAGACTGGTAGTTCTGGTCGTCGTCCACTTTGGTTTTGACCATTACACTACCACATCCTCCACCACCCACCACCGATGAGCACTATTGACCAGCAACGGGAGCTGGATACTGCAATACCTTGCCAAAAAATATGCAATAATCAACCCCCGGAGAACACTTTCGAACCATGACGAAAGATAGCTAAACGTTACCCAACCTAAAGGCGCCCCTTAACGGATCACCCATACTCGCTCGCCGCGTCCCTGCACTACACGCAACCCCATGCATCATGCACTGTACTGTACGTACAAATGTGTATACACAACTCATACATACCTCACGCACCTTTTTATCCCCTTTTAAATGTGCCACGATATCATCACACTTTCCCCGTCATCCATAGGAGTATATATGCCGTTGCTCTCGTTTGAAGCAACGGAGCTTATCCGTTGTTAGTCCGTTACAACTATCCGCCGGCGCCAAACGGCCACCGGATCCAACCAATGCAACCTATAAATCCCCTTGCACGGGCGTGGTGCTCCACACACAGCCAAGTACAAGCCTCCCTTGCATTTTGAGCACACCAGCACAGAAGCAAGAGAGAGGTATAGAGAGCAGATCGAGATGGCGAAGCACTCGGCTGCCATGTGCAGGCTCCTAGTGTTGGTGCTGCTCTGCTTGGGCTCCCAGCTGGCCCAGTCTCAGGTCCTCTTCCAGGGGTTCAACTGGGAGTCGTGGAAGAAGCAAGGTGGGTGGTACAACTACCTCCGGGGGCGGGTGGACGACATCGCCGCAACGGGGGCCACGCACGTCTGGCTCCCGCCGCCGTCGCACTCGGTGGCGCCGCAGGGGTACATGCCCGGCCGCCTCTACGACCTGGACGCGTCCAAGTACGGCACCCACGCGGAGCTCAAGTCGCTGATCGCGGCGTTCCACGCCAGGGGCGTCCAGTGCGTCGCCGACGTGGTGATCAACCACCGCTGCGCCGACTACAAGGACAGCCGCGGCATCTACTGCGTCTTCGAGGGCGGCACGCCCGACAGCCGCCTGGACTGGGGCCCCGACATGATCTGCAGCGACGACACGCAGTACTCCAACGGGCGCGGACACCGCGACACCGGGGCCGACTTCGGCGCCGCGCCGGACATCGACCACCTCAACCCGCGCGTGCAGGAGGAGCTCTCCGCCTGGCTCAACTGGCTCAAGTCCGACCTCGGCTTGGACGGCTGGCGCCTCGACTTCGCCAAGGGCTACTCCGCCGCCGTCGCCAAGGTGTACGTCGACAGCACCGCGCCCACCTTCGTCGTCGCCGAGATATGGAGCTCCTGCGCTACGACGGCAACGGCGAGCCGTCCAGCAACCAGGACGCCGACAGGCAGGAGCTGGTGAACTGGGCGCAGGCGGTGGGCGGCCCCGCCGCGGCGTTCGACTTCACCACCAAGGGCGTGCTGCAGGCGGCCGTCCAGGGCGAGCTGTGGCGAATGAAGGACGGCAACGGCAAGGCGCCCGGGATGATCGGCTGGCTGCCGGAGAAGGCCGTCACGTTCGTCGACAACCACGACACCGGCTCCACGCAGAAGTCGTGGCCATTCCCGTCCGACAAGGTCATGCAGGGCTACGCCTATATCCTCACGCACCCAGGAACTCCATGCATCGTAAGTCCCCATCACCAATTCAGAATTCACCATGGCTAACCATGAGCTCCAGCAACTGACACTGTTCTTGCATCTGTAATTCAGTTCTACGACCACGTTTTCGACTGGAACCTGAAGCAGGAGATCCGCGCTCTGTCTGCAGTGAGGTCAAGAAACGGGATCCACCGGGAGCAAGCTCAACATCCTTGCCGCTGACGGGGATCTCTACGTCGCCAAGATCGACGACAAGGTTATCGTGAAGATCGGGTCACGGTACGACGTCGGGAACCTGATCCCTCAGACTTCCACGCCGTTGCCCATGGCAACAACTACTGCGTTTGGGAGAAGGGCGGTCTGAGAATTCCAGTGGGGTGGCACCACTAGACACAGCCCAACCGCTAAAGATATTTTTCATTTCAGGTCCATTTGAGCCTGGAAAAAAATTTAAGAGAGGCTAAATAACCGGAATACGATTGTACTACCAAAGCTTCTTTCAGCTAATTATTGAAAGAAGATTCTAATGTTTGGATGTATATTAATTATGCAGATTTGCTACACAGTAACCGGTTGTAAACAACCGGATTCTGAGCCGTAGAATCTAGACTGCTGCCGTCTGAGCCGTTCGATTTTGTTTCCTGTTCGCTGTGTCGCATAGCTCGCAAACCGCCGCCGCCGCCGCCCAGGTGCGGGTTCCGCTCCCTCCTTCGTCGCATAGGTCCTAGATCGCCGCCGCCCAGGTGCGGGCTTGCTCCCCGCTCCCTCCGTCGCATAGCTCCCAGGCCACCGCCGCGCAGGTTCAGGCGCGGGCGCGGCCGTCCCCGGCCGGCGTCCCAGGCGCGGGCGCGGCCGTCCACGACGCGGTCGCTGCCGTCCCCCGGCGCGGGCGCGGCCGTCCACAGCATGGTCGCCGCTGTCCCCGGCGCGGGCGGCGTCCCCGGCAGTCGTTCCTAGCGTTGGCGCAGGTCGGCCCCTCCGTCCACCATTTGTATTTTTTTTTTCGAAATTTCGGAAGAATTTGTAAACAACATATATTTATATGATATCTGGAATCCACAGAAAAAAATTGTAAAATTTTTTAAAAAATTTGGTACATATTTGTGTTATCCCCAAATTACATCACTCTTTTTAAAAAATTACATTGAAGAAATTATTATAAATATAGTAATAAGGTGAGGTAAATATAACTATAAGACATTGTAAGTGTATGAAAAAAATCTGATTGTTGGAATGGGCTAAAACAACTAGTTATTGACTAGACAGATTCTAATTATGCTGGCATGGGAATTTTTGTAACCTCTTGAAATGAGGACAAAGATTATTCTTATTAAGCTGAGAAACTCCAGGTGATGTTAAAGAGCAACTCCTCCGATAATTAACTTGCTAAACCAATAAATTTAGGGAGTCAACAAAATACCTCAATTTATTTCGCTCTCAAATATTCTATATTACCTTTCTAAACAATTTTGCATTGAGAACCCTGAACAATTTCTAACCAACCAATTTTTTTAATAGTTTCTTTGTCTTTTACCGTTTTCTCACCTGAAACCTTTTATTTTTTCCTAAAATTACTCGTACGTCCAATTTACTCCGATCATCCGAGAAAAAACATCGGATGAGAAATGGATATGGAGTCCCTCTTTATTGTGGAAACCTATGAGTTGGAGAGTATTTTATTTTAAAGGAGTTTTTTTACCAAACTATTGGAGGGGATTTTTCTTTTTGCTAAAAACTCAAAATAGAGAATTGTTTTACAAAACTTGTAGAGATGCTCTTATAGCCCTTTCCTTGTGCATGACTGTGTCTGGCTGCCACCAGAATCAATGGTTATGCAATTTCTACCGAGTCCAAATCAAGTTAGCATTTAGTTTTTTTGGTGATGAGATCTATTTTTCAATAAAACCACCGTCAAAGTATTTCAATTTTTTTAGTTCTTTGACCTCTTATAAATTTAAAAATTGGATCATATTGTTCCCTTGCTTGAGGATCCATAGTTGCCTTTTTTCCCTAAAATATTACAGAATTTATCAGAATACAATTTATAGCTGCTATAGCCATTGTGGCCTCAAGCATTAGCAACTATTGGACGACCCCGTCATCACGCCGACATCCATAGTTACTTCAAATCTTCCCATCATATAAATTGTGGAATCGTCACTCCGGCCTGTGCTACTATACTGTATTTATCAGCCATGCTATGACCACATCTGTTGAGACTTAGGGATCTGAGGGCGTAGGAGTGGGAGATGAGAGGCCTGGGCTTGAAACCCCGGCGATGAACTGGCAGCGCTGTGCTCGGCGTTTGGCTGGAAACTCGGTGGCAATAGGGAAACCGTGAACAGTAACGCCCGAGGGCCCAAGGTGAGATAAACTCAATCCCAGGCTCATCCATTCCATCATAATTGTTCAATACTTATACAAGCAAATCTTCAACCGACTCAACTCTAACTTAATCAAATAACAAACTCAAGAGATAAGTATCCTAGATTCTAGTACTTGATAACCAACTGGGCCGACTAAGCCGGGCTCCTAGCCACGGTGTCTGCGCCTGTAGACCGTACCGGCCATAACATCTCTCCCCTCCTTTGGAAACAGCTCGTCCTCGAGCTGAAACGAAGGAAAGAGAGCACGAAACTCATCCACGAGTTCCCAAGTGGCGTCATCTTCCGGCAAGTTCTCCCACTGAACCAACACATGCCACACACCGCGCCGCAACCGAGAACGAAGCACGCGTGCAGGGCGATGAAACACTTGGCCATGACGAAGAGGAGGAAGCGCCGGTGTAGTGGAGGGCGGAGTTCCCCGAAACGGCTTGAGAACCCCAACATGGAACACATCATGAATCCGAGCTCCCTCCGGAAGACACATGCGATATGCCACTTCACCAATGCGCTCAATGACCTGAAACGGACCAGCAAATCGTGGACTAAGCTTGCCACGGAAGCCCAGCACCAGGGATTGCGCCGGCCGATGAAGAAGGCGCAGGAGAACCCAATCGTCAACGTCAAACTGAAGAGGGCGGTGGTGAGCATCGTAATGCCGTTTGGCATATTCCTGGGCTTGCAGCAGCCGATCACGAACATCGGCGAGAAACGCGTCACGATCGTAGAGAAGCTTGTCCACCTTGTCTGTCCGTGTCGTGCCGGCAGTGTAAGGCAACAGAGGCGGTGGAGGCCGACCATACACCACCTCAAACGGCGTCGTCCGAAGGGAGGAGTGGAATGAAGTGTTGTAACAATATTCTGCCCAAGGAAGCCACTGAAGCCAAGAACGAGGACGATCGCCAGTGAGACACCTCAAATACATAGCAATTGTGCGATTGACCACCTCGGACTAGCCATTGGTTTGCAGATGAAAAGTTGTGCTCATCTTGAGCTTGACCCCAGCGAGCTTGAAGAGATAAGAGATCGCGCCAAACATGCCCCGTAAACACTGGATCACGATCACTAACAATGGACGCCGGAAAACCATGAAGTTTGACAACGCCCTCAAAGAACACCCCAGCGACAGAAGCTGCGGTGTATGGGTGACTCAGCGGAAGAAAATGCGCCTGCTTGGAAAATCTGTCAACCACCGTTAAAATCACACTCTTCCCATGTACACGCGGAAGCCCCTCCACGAAATCCATGGAGATATCCGACCAAACTTGCGAGGGAACCTCTAAAGGCTAAAGGAGACCAGCCAGTGCGACAGTTGTTGCATTTTATTCTACGCCGACCGTGAAACAAGAACTTACAAAGTCTCGGACAAGGCAGCGATCACGAACTCCTGACGAAGCCGCTGCAACGTCTTCCGTGTGCCTTCATGGCCAGCACCGTGCGCCAACTGGAGAACAGCGGGGAGGACTGAGGACGTCGCTGGGACAAACACGCGGGCACCACGCATGATGAGACCGTCAGCGAGACGCCAAGGCTCACCACGGTTCGCCACAATGGAGTCGCGGAGCGCATGCAGGTCGTCATCCAGCTGCATTCGTGGTGTAGGTCGTCGAATAACTAAAAGGAAGGCTCTGTGACTGCATGAAGCAAAGATATCATCCACCCTCTCTCGAGACAACGCATCGGCAACAACATTGAGAGTGCCCGGCCAATATTCAATCGTGAAATCATACCCAAAGAGCTTACTAACCCGCGATGTTGGGGAATCAGAGAAAGCCGTTGATCCAACAAGAACTTCAATGCATAATGATCTGTGCGCACAATAAACTGTCTGCCCCACAAATACGGACGCCAGTGCCGAACTGCTTGGACAAGGCCGATGAGTTCCCTCTTATACGCGGCTAACTTGTGGTGGCGAGCTACGAAGGGTCTGCTGAAAAATGCTAGAGCACCGGTGCCTTGATGGAGTACCGTGTCGAATCCAGAGCCGGATGCATCACAATCGACCATGAATGAATTGTCTCAATCAGGAAGTTGGAGAACCGGTGCACTGGACAGGGCCTTCTTGAGGGCGTTGAACGCGTCCGTGGCTGCGGGCGACCATAGGAAAGCCTCCTTCTTGAGAAGCGCCATCAATGGGGCAGCCACCGAGCCATAATCTTTAATGAACCGACGATAGTACCCGGCGAGGCCGAGGAACCCCCGGAGCGCACACACGTTGTCGGGTTGAGGCCAGGTAGCGACGGCCGCAACCTTCTCCTGATCCATTGCAACACCAGCCACGGAGATGACATGTCCCAAGTAATGTACCGACGTCGTTGCGAAGTCGCATTTAGAGCGTTTCAACCGCAGGTGATGGTCACGCAGTGCAGTCAAGACTGCGTTGATGTGCTGCAGATGCGTCGACCAAGAGGACTATAGATCAAGATGTCAAAAAAACACAAGGACAAAATTACGCGAGAACGGCCGGAGCAACTGCGTTCATGAGACTTTGGAATGTCGCTTGGGTGCATTGGATGTGACCGAAGGGCATGACTAAGAACTCGAAGTGACCCTCATGAGTCCTAAAAGCGATCTTCTCAATGTCATCGGCATGCATACGAACTTGATGGTACCACAAGCGCAAGTCGGTTTGGAGAAAAAGCCGAGCCCCGTGAAGCTCATCCAAAGCAATTCTTCGACCACCGGAATTGGAAATTTGTCTTTAATGGTGAGCTTGTTCAAGGCACGGTAATCCACAGAACCTCCAGGAGCCGTCATGTTTTTTGACAAGTAAAAACAGAGCGAAGAGAACGTTGAGGTACTCAGATGGATCACCCCCATTTGCAGCATAGCGGCCCACTGGGATTCCAGTTCATCTTTCTGTAGTTGTGGGTAGCGGTAAGGCCGCATGGCCACTGGCACCGCATTTGGCACGAGATGAATGCGGTGATCCACGAGCATAATGAGCGGCAAGCCTTCCGAGCGTGGTGAACACATCTTC